TCTTCCAGCTGCGCCCAGCCATTTCCAAAGGGACCACCAACCATCAACAGGCAGGGATTGCTTCCTGTACCTATCATTTCATTTGCTTTGTCTCTGTATAATTTTGCTCATCAATGTACACGAAGAGGTCACTATGCCCCTCCATAACGAACCATCACTTCATAGTCAATTCATAGAAATGGGAATCACGGCTGTGAGCCCGGGCCTGCAAACAATTCTGGCTTTCTGCTTATACGGTGTTTTTTTGCTCGAAGCTCCTGCACAAAGCTGTGAACAAAAACACATTCTCGGCATCTTGCATCTGGGTTCGCTAAAGGAAAGAGTTGATGAGGACATGCATCGCTAAAGTTGAAACAACAAGTCAACTTTGCGAACCGATTCTGTGTTGCGGATGGTCAGGGGTTTGTTGATAGAAAGCGCTCTAATATACGATTCATATATGAACAGCGAGTCTGCCTCAATCATAAATGACCCAAGCAGACTTCTACTTCCGGTCCCTTTCATTCAAAGACGTCTACGTCGACTCGGCATCTTCTCGTCGACTGGACCAGATTGCACGATGCCGACCGGATGGTCCGTCGAGCGATCCACATCGGGGATCGGGGGCGGACCGTTGAGCTTCGCAGTTGTGCGGACGGTGGCGAGACACCGCGGGGAGAGAACTGGAACTCCGAGTTCTGGTTGACTCCATGAGTGAAAGGACTTCTACGTTCAGACCGTACTGCGGGAGAAATGCTCTCCTCCGCTCGTCACCACCGAATCACTGAGTGCAATCACTCAGTCGCCGGGCTGATTTAAACCAGGACCAACCATCAAGCGCAAAGGTTTGGTGCTCAAAGGACCCTCAGTTCGTGGTTTTGAAGCCTTTTGGACATGTAGCAGTTGCAAACAAAAGTCGGTCGGCCACTGGCCCCTTGGGGCGATCCGCGCAGATCTGCGGATCTCACCTCCGGTTGGCGCGCGCGGATCCGCGGGCGCCAACCGCTGCTCCACTCGTCTCAGATCCAAGAGGACCGCACCACCTCGCTCAGCGCCTCCACGTCGTCACTCGTCTCCGACCTCTTCAGCGATGCGTCGAGTCGACGCCACGCAGGACACCGCGTCGGTGGACCGCGTCGACACGCCGAAAAAGACGAAGAACCCAATCATTAGTGCGAGCGCTTCGTCAAGGAAGTGCGAGCTATCCTGCGTCCAGATACTGGAAGCTTTAGTAGCTGGGAGCAAGCTCCCTTACTCAATTAAATAGGTGCCTACTTTATCAAGCAAGGGCGGGCTATAAACATAAAAAACAGTTCCACAGTCGAGTGAGTTTCACATTTTCGGGTGGCTGGGGTGTTCATAAACAGCTTTCTTGCAGAAAAAAAACTAGCAACTCATAATGCGACAGCAAGCCGGTGTTTCAACCATGAACAACCCTACATCCGGGGCGGGGCATTGTCTTTAAATGAAAAGCATCCAGGAAGACCACCCTGTTTCTAGGAGAACTTCGGGTCTCTTCAAAGAACTACTAGATCCCTTGGCAATGTTCGGAGCCAAAGCGAAAACACTGTGAAGCCATGATGGCTGAAAGCACCCGTCGTTTTGCGCTGTCTTGCGCAGCAATGCGAAGAGCGATAACACCCTCTGAGGTTGCCCATGTCTCGATATCTTGCTACGGAAGCTGGCCTATGTTGGGGCCTGCCCCTGATCGATTTTCCTCGAAACCCCTGCCTAATCGAATCCTTAGCATCCAACCATCTCAGTGCGCAGCGCTAAGTGCTTGGCTGATGGTCAGCATCCATTCCCGTCTCCATCGCTTTCTGCAGTGCCTCCCATTCGGACCACGTGGGGTCCCAGCGTAGATGTCGTAGACTTTCAAAGGGCATCGGACCCGAACGGTGCGATCGGACGCTACCAACGGGGGCTCCTATACGATAAACATGCCAGTCCCAATGGATATATGGGATGTGTCATTTGAATAGGGAGACCGAATAGTTCGGCGTTCCGATTTTCTGCAAGGTTCGGTTCCGAACAGACCAGTCTACCCAGAAGTCCATCGGGTGTCTTTCATGCAGGTGTCACCTTCTCATCTTGTCTGCAACCGACCGTCCAGTGTCTGGACCCCCCCCGCGGAACCCCAAATTGCTCGCCGTGCCGAGTTCACTACTGAAAGCATATTGGTTCTTTTGAATGATTATTTTTCCCCAAACAGGTTTACCTGTGAGGGGTTCTTACTCCTTTGAAAGGGGTGCATGACCGGGCCGCATGATTTTACATTTGTCTCCGGGCTTGCGTTCCTGGTTGCTGTGTCTCCTACTTGTGCCCCACTGTCTCCAGTCTCCTGTGGGTGCTTTGGCCGCATGATTTTACACTTGTCTCATGTCTCCCATTTGTCTCCCACTTGTGCCCCACTGTCTCCAGTTCGCTGTGGGTGCTTTGGCCGCATGATTTTACACTTGCCTCCCACTTGTCTCCCACTGTCTCCAGTCCTTTGTGGGTGTTGTGGCCGCATGATTGTCTGGACTTGGACCTGGACCAAACAAACTGTTTGGGGTCAACGCTGGTATTTATTAAGAAATCTCTATAACAAATACAGGCTCCTCAAGATGAGCATATTTTGAGAAAACATGATGCTCGATATTTTTTCTTGCACCTCTTTTGGACACTCCGGACGGATGCGCGGGATGCCCGGCCGGCAGGGGGCGCTTCTTCTTGGTGAGGGCCGGGTCGAAGGATGCTGAGTTAATTCGCCTCAGGCAGCAGCTGGCCACATGTCTGAGAGATCGAGTGTTCTGCAACAGTGGTGCAAGATCAAGAAGGTGAAGACTTCCAGTAGGAACATCGGAAGCGGGCACTAAGAAACTCTGGCCTCTATTCCATCAATCCCGCAGGTATTTGCATCCCTTTCTATTTCCACCAGGTGTTCGAGGTGAGGCAAGCAGCCTCCTGCCGAAAACACAAAGAGCTAGCAGAAGTATCTGCAAGTCAAATAAACAATCAGCTAATGCTCAGGACATTCAAGAAACTTCCTAAGTAAGGCAGTGTCCATTCTCATTCTGTGGCTCTGTGACCGGTTTCAACTCGCGGAAGCATCCCACACTCGATCCGCAGGAAAGGGATATTCCGAATTCCAAAAGGATCGCTTCATCCTTTCTTCCTGTTTTTGATCGTTCCATCAATCGAACAGTTGGGTCTCTTAACACAAAAAACATGTACTAGACTCTGTATCCGGACCCTCGTTGGCTCTCATTCTGTCTCAGTCACGCATTGAATTTGTAAGTTGTGGCATCTTCTGCAGGTGGGGCGACCTGCCGCTCGTCGACTGCATGTACGACACGGGAACTTCCACGTCCGTGCGAACGTTCCGTGCGTGAACGGCGCGAACCGTGCCGACCGGAAAACGGCAGAACTACTAGGGGTTCGACCCTCAAGACCCTTTTCCCTCTTTTTTCGGGGCCCCAGATGAGATCAAGGGGTCGAGATCATCGCTGGCTGCCTTCTTTACAGCTTTTGACTTCCCAGAGTGACTGAAGCATTGTGAGAAACACCATGCGCCCATGTTAGGAAGTAGCTAAAAAAATTGTTTTAAAAAATATTTATTTTTACGATTTTGTTATGGATTTGTTTTGAAAAACTTGTGAAAACAGTTATGATCAAATTTATGATTTTTTTGGCTGAATTGCCAAACATACACTTGCGATATATTGTTCGTATGGCTAGGTAGGAGGTTTGGGAGCTTCTTGGATTGTGGTCAGCAGCCCAATCAGCTATTTCACGTCTGATGGAAAGATTTAGTTTCTGGGTCAAGCAACAAAATTGACAACGCAAGGAATCGAGGGTGGGGACACGGTGGCCCTTGCAAGCCGCCCTGACCTTTTCCACTCCAAGCCCTGGGCCATACCACGTCCAGTTTCCAACCATAACGAAACCATAACTGTCCTCCAACCAAGTATCAAAGCCATAAAAACAGCCATAACAGAATCATAACAAATCCATATCAATTCCATATCGAATCCATATCGAATCCATAAAATATCCATAAGAATCGGCGACTTTACTTATTTTTATGAAAATCTTATGAAAACCTTATGGAAATCTTATGAAAAACTTATGCCAAATCTTATGGTTTTTTTTATGGCCGCAGAAGTGGTCACTAGGCGGTCTGGGCTCCACTTGGTCTCCGTCCGTCCCCGTGTGTCCAGTGCCCAAACGTCTAGGGCTTGGGCTACCAGCTGCCTTTTAAGGTTGAGGTTTGAGAGTTGTTTAGCCAGTGACTGCTGTTGCCCTGTGTTCTCTGCAGGGTTGCTCATATTTGGTCTGGGTCTTAGATTGTGTACTCCGTGTGTTGTTGTTCTGTCACCACTAGCTTCCTGGTTTTACGCAAAAAGTAACTACAAACAAAGCATATTTTTTGGCATATTCAGTTTCATAAGAAAACCATAACAAAATCATAAAAATAAATAAACCATAAATAACTTTTTTGGCTGACTTCCAAACTCACAAGCCCATCGCGCTTTGGAGACATGATGAGACCAAGAATCTGAACAGTTGAATTATGAATAACCCTTCCCAACCGGTCTTCGCCGCCACCGGTCTGAAATGGTGGAATGACCAATCTCCAACGGACCGAGCGCGGCTGTTCGTCCATGTTCTTCGCTGCTTTATTCGGACGAACCAGGACTGGACCCCGGTCGCAAGCGCAACATCCAGTCTAACGCTAGTCCCGGTCGGAGCGTTAGACTGGGGGAGGTGTGAACACCGGTCTCTACGGCCAGGAGCCCCTAGTAGCGTCCTTGCTCCTAGTAGCGATGCTCTTTGCTCCTAGTGTGAACACCCGGTTTTTTTTGGGGGGTGAGGTCCGCCTCCGTGGAAAGCAAGGTGATGACGCTGGTCACTTGATTCATGTCGAAGACGGCCAATGCTGCCAACCTGGAGTGAACATGTCCAACTGGAAACCGTGTGAAACGGTGAAGAGACCGGGCGGAATGAAGAGTGAAGCCCACACATCCACATTCTTGCACTGAGTGCTCGATGGATTTGTTCGATGAAGCTTCGGATCGAGACTCTGCCTTTAACATGTCATAAATCGGGAAGACATTGGGAAGCATTCTCGGAAAAATAAACCACCGACAGCGGCTTAACCAAGCGGAACATCAACAACAAACTTGCTCTCCACCACCCGACCACGCTTCCCTGAACACAATGCTGCCAGAAGAATGTCCTGGTGGAAAGACCACCTTCATCCTCGAGCTCCATCTCTTTCAAGCTCTTGGCCAAGGCCTCCCAACTGCAAAGAATTCCAATCCTGTCTGGAACCTGTCACCGGACCGGTATATTTTTTCGTGCTTGCGATGATATGTGCGGACGAAGCTGGGAGAAGCAGGTGCAAAACTAACCTCTTGCTTAGTTTGGCAAAAGGACTTGCGTGCCATGTTCCGATAGCAGATCATGGCACAGGAAAAGAATCAACATGGCATATATAATCATTAATCTTATATATCTATTAACATGAAAATGAACAAGGTAGGTACATCTGACTAGACCGCAAGGGCGCTGAACAGATTTATATCTTGGCTTCCCGCTCTTGCTTATATAGGGGAAAAATCGTGAGAGCTTTCTCTCAGCTTTCTGGTGCGTGAAGCCCTGCTGGAAAAATGAGGCGCTTGATATCTCAATAGCAGGACCTTCCCAGTGACCGAACTTTGGATTCCCATCCGGTGACCGAACGAAGAAGACAGGGGGGGGATGTTGGTGTTCGGTGCTCCCGTTCGCCCGGAGAATTGTGCCGTCTGTCGTGCCTTCATCTTGGCTGCCACCTTTCTAGTACTGGGACCATGGCCCAAGTTGAAAATGCTCATTTCCTGCCGAGATTCTGCCAGACAAAGGCGTGAAGAAAAGGGAAAACAGCACACCCACACACTCTGACATTGGTTTGCTGTTAACTCAATTCCCACGTCGAGAAGGAAGCTGAAGGAACGGCAAGGCGCATGAGTCTGCAGAAAAGTATTGTTTAACAAAAGTTTTACAACAAACGCAAGTGGAAACGGCTGCAAAGCGGAGGGAAACCTGTTTGGGGGTGGCAGCATGAAGGACCATGAAAGCAACCCGGTCAAATTGGACAGCTTGTGCAAAAGTTGGTCGCAGGTACACACAGTTGATCAGACTGTGCATCCACCGACAAGCATAGCTTTGTTCGCCAGCGTTTGCTTGTCGGCCGCTGGCCCCCTGCTTGGAAACATCGGAGCCCTTAGGTACAGGGGTTGACACACACACGGTGCCGCTTTGCGGCGCTCGTGCGAACGAGCTGAATAGGCACCTAAAAGCCTTAGAAACAAAAGAAAGAAACACAGAAAGAGCAGCGCTAAGAGGGCAAGAGAGAAAGGTAGGTGTAGAAAAAAGGTGAATACTTAGCCCTTGACTGGGGCAGGGAAACGAGCCTCAAGAACCTCAAAAGCCTGAGAGAAAGCCCAAGAAACGACCGAAAGCGTAAGAAAGAAAGGGGGGGGGCAGGGAGGGGGTGTATGTAGCATGTGTGTGTCCGTGTGTGTGTATGACTACTTAGCACTCTAGAGTTACTGACTACTTAGCCGAGGCGAATTAAATGCAATAGTTAGGGAGCGGGACTTTAGTCTTAGACCGCCCGGGTAGAGAAGACTAGAACAGGAACAACAAAGGGAAAGGCACCGACACACAAGTGTGTCGAGTACCATTTCCCTGTGTTGCCCTAATTAGGTGGGGAGTAGAACTCGGTGGAGGGGGGTTGGGAGACCTGCCTCAAGTGGGTTGAATTTCGTTTTTTAGCCCGGCGGCTGTGGTATCCGTGAAAGCCCGGCGGCTCTAGATTCCGACAATTCAGTAGTGAGACGAAGGCAGTTAAGGTGATTCACGATGAAAAACGATGAATCTGTTAGACGATTTCCGGCATGAGAACGGCGCCTCCTTGCGGAGGATCACACCCAGCACCCAAGTGGGACGGCTGAGCGGTTCACACTCTGACATTGGTTTGCTGTTAACTCAATTCCCACGTCGAGAAGGAAGGTGAAGGAACGGAAAGGCGCATGAGTCCGCAGAAAAGTATTGTTTAACAAAAGTTTTACAACAAACGCAAGTGGAAACGGGTGCAAAGCGGAGGGAAACCTGTTTCGGGGTGGCAGCATGAAGGACCATGAAAGCAACCCGGTCAAATTGGACAGCTTGTGCAAAAGTTGGTCGCAGGTACACACAGTTGATCAGACTGTGCATCCACCGACAAGCATAGCTTTGTTAGCCAGCGTTTGCTTGTCGGCCGCTGGCCCCCTGCTTGGAAACATCGGAACCCTTAGGTACAGGGGTTGACACACACACACACACACGAGCATGATGAAAGGACTTGGACGATCATACGCCAACACCAGCACGTGAGTTTGGATAGAAAGCAACCCCTGTTTTGGGGTGGGCTAGTCCCAAAAAGGAGGTCCTATGGGCTCTGTGCACGAGTGCAGTTTCACATTGCTCCCCTCTCTTGGCTCTTCTCGCTGCTTCCGAGAAAACCCGAGAATCTTCTCCTGTCCTGCTTCCCTCCCAGTGCACTGCGATAGATCAAGGCGCTGACGGTCATGGCGCACATGGTGCCCATCGCACAGAAGATGCCCGTCCTGCGCCATCGACGCAGGACGGTCCCGAAGCGAAAAAGGGTGTGGTGAAAAAGCGTTGGATGGTGGAAGTAGGTCATGTCTGAATGTCTTGTCTGAACATTTTTCGTGAAGATTGGATTGAACATGCGGACAGAACGGGAAAGAATTACCAAACAGCTTCTTCAAAGTGACCTCTTTGGAGTCCCTAAGTGATCTTTCTCAGGCCTAAGTGACCTCATTCCGGGATCTCAAAAGGCCACTTTGAAGGTCCTGGTACGGAAATGTATCTGATTTTTCATTTGGATTCTTTTCGATTTCCTTTGACTACCTTCTATAGACCTTTGCTATGATTAATGATTTCACTTGTGTTGTCTTAATCCTTCTTTGAAATCATTTAGATGTCTGTAGTATGGTCCCAGGTTTTCCTTTGACCCCTTTGACTCTCCAATTCTTTCCTTTTCTCACTGATTCCTTGTTGTCCACTTAACCAAGATGCATTCGTGGGTGACTTCCTTTAGAGTTTGCAGAGTTCGGTGTGGTGAAAAAGGATTTGAACTGTATAAAGGTGCAAAAATCCATCAAGGAAGGACAACCAAACGAAACCTTGCAACTTTAGGAAGGTCGGGGAAGAACTTTTTTGATGGAGGATGTTAGATAGAACGAGAAGCCTGGGTAAGCTGCTTTGACCACTGGTCACGTCACAAGAGGGTCAGGGTTGCTCTGCCAAGCGTCAACATGATGGTCGAAACGCCCTCGGCAAAGACCATCATAGGCCCTTCCTGACTCGTGGGCGATGAAGCACATCGCACGTGATACCCGGTTCTCCCCGGCACCCTGGTTTTTCCCACCGAAAAGGAACAGATATTAGAAACAAAAAGCTACTAGGAACAAGTGCATCGCTTCTAGTAACAAGTGCCTTACTAGTAGTAACAAGAAGCTATTAGAAACAATCCAAGAGACTTCATAAAGGATCTCTCCAAGACACCACGATCTTCAAGGACAAACTGGAGGTCGTCACCAGCAAAGTGATGCAGAAGGAGACTGTACAGTCAGTCAAGTTCAGCAAAGGCACCTGCCGTGACCAGTGCCCGACGCCCCAACAAATGTGCACACACGTCGCGAGAACATCTGGGCGCGAGAATCGGAGCCGGATTGATATTCGGGCATCTACATGCATTGACCATACAGTATCTACAGTAGCAAGAAACTAGTAATCGCTTTACTAGGGTGGAGGCCATCGCTACTAGAAACAAACCATACAGTATCTAGCTTGCGCCACAGGTGGACCGGGTCCATTTTAGTTGATGTGGACCGGACCGGATCGTTGCAACAGTGTCCCATCCGCACCTTCCATGGCCAAAACAACATCTGCATCACCTGTCGGAAACGTGGAAATAAGCGGACGGAGAAGGAACTGGACGGAGAGAGAATGGATATCCGTGGAGATAGAAATAGTATGGACACTAGAATGGACATGTACCTGGATCTTCCATCTGTGCACCATGTATAATTGCCCTTTTCAATCCAAACCCGCCCATTGACTGGGACATCTTGACTTGGACATCCGATCGATCAGCCGGAGAATCGGTCCAACATCACCCGGTTCATCCTGGACCTCCGAGCGAAAGCTCCGACAAACACCGAGGAAAGCTTCCAATTCAGTCCCTCCAGGTGGCAAGAAAGGCCGTGAGGATTGTGGCAATGACGATGATCTGCACTGGTGGATAGTCAGTGGCCAAGACCACTGGCAAGGAGAGCAAAGGCCCACGCACCAGCAATGGAACTCCAAACCACCAAGCATCCAATCTGAAGCGAAAGACCAAGAAGCGAACTGATGCCACCAAATCAAGTTTTTTCTCTACGCTCCACCTGGGCACCTAGGTTTTCGAAGCCGTCTGGAAATGCGGCAGGTCGGGTGGTGCGACAATGTGTTCCATGACACTCATCACCCCTGCGGATCGTGCATGGCTGGTAGCGTCCTTGCTCGTAGTAGTGATGCCAGGAGCCCCTAGTAGCGTCCTTGCTTGTAGTAGCGATGCCAGGAGCCTCTAGGAGCCCCTAGTAGCGTCCTTGCTCTTTGTAGCGATGCAGGAGCGCTAGTAGCATCCTTGCTCCTAGTAGCGATGCCAGGAGCTCGTAGTAGCGTCCTTGCTCCTAGCAGCGATGCCAGGAGCCCCTAATAGCGTCCTTGCTCCGAGTAGCGATGCCTGGAGCCCCTAGCGGCGTCCTTGCTCCTAGTAGCGATGCCAGGAGCCCCTACTTGGATGACCGCCCCGGTTGCTAAATGTTAGTAAGACTTTTAACGACTTAGAGTGATTGGACATCGACTTTTATGTTGACATGTAAACCATTTATTATATATATACAGGTGGTTCTAAAGCACTTAGACTATGTCTTTTAAGTGAACTTAGGACACTTCGGCCTATGTGGGTTAAGTGACTTGGGCGACTTAGCGTCAGCCACGTAAGTGACTTCGGCTAAGTCTCCTAAGTCGGTGTAGGGCATTTCCAAGAAAGCATTTTGAAGTTATAAAGCTTTAGGGAAAGAAAACACGAAAAATTAACTTTTTGTAGGGTTTTCTTTGCGCAGAAACCTGAAACTTTATGCTGTGCGCCTGCAAGAAAATGTTAAAACTTACGCTGCACACTGGGTGAGCATACGGATTTCGACGCACTCCTTCTCCAGCCATCCCTGTGAAAAAAGGAAGAAGTTTTCCAGGTTAGAATCTTTAGCTTGGCCATTCGACATGAAGTTGCCTCAAACCAATCAGTATGAAACCGCCCCATGCACAGATGACTCTGCTGGAAGCAATGGCTGTTGCTCAGCTCATAGACGTTGACCTGCGCCGGGAACATACACTGGCAAAAAAGTATCATTTTGGCCTGCGATGCTATTGGCAAAGGAGCGGGCATTTCCACTTCAATTGTCTCCGCTCAGATTTTTTCTGCGCGAAAACCGGCAGACATTTAAAGGAAAGGAATAGGAGGGTGAATGAACTCGCTGACAGGGCAGGGTTTCGACCCACCCTGATGGAACATCATGCATGAATGGAAGCGGAAGAAAGGTTCATACAGAAACCGACAACCTTAAGATAGAGGAAGCCGCAATCCATTTTCCCTTTCAGGCGGCCAAGATCATATGCAGTTTGCGATCGACAGCTCGGAGATATATACTCCCAGTTCAGCACGGGTTTCCCCGGGGTGCCATTGACACTGCCAACATGTCAGCGTGCAATTTTTGCACTGCTACCTCGCTGCCCACATAGTGTTTGGGGCAACGAAAAGTTTGATGGAAATCAAACATTCTTGAACGCAGCCGAGTTCGCAGAACACGTGTCTCTTACTTTTCTGAAAGACATTAGCTCCCTCAGCAAGCCACAGATTTGCGCACACAAAAAATGTTTCATCGCTCGCTGCAAAGAACATCACTTCGCCGACTTGAGCGCCCTCTTCCAAGTCCAGAAGCACAAAGTCACCTGCTGCGGCAGATCCTCCAACACAGTAGTGCGCCTGTCTTGCGCGGTGAACGGTCCCTCGCGTCCCCATCACGTGAACCTTCCGCAGCCACTGGCTTGACCAAACCCACATGTAGAGCATCAATCTCCTAATTTTCCCAGGTCAATCAAATTGACGTGCAGGACCTCCTTCATGATGGATGTCTCAAAAGCATCACGGACACGCCGAAGGTTTTCTGAAAATCGCTTGGCAACTCTGTGTTTTCGTTCGTGCACGAAACAACCCGCAACCACCTGCTGGGACTCATACATTTCTGGCAAATGCATCAGGTAGTGATGTTTTGGAACCCACAGGGTTGACCCCCAGGCTCGCGAGTGAGCCTTCACCAAAGCCGTAATGCAACGCTCTAGATTGGCAAGGGTGGTAATTCCTTTCCTGAGTGCGAAGAGTACATCCAGCACTTCGGCCAAAGCCAAACAGCTTTTCACCTGCAGAGCTATGCTCCACAAAGAAGCCTGCTTCAATGGAAGAAAGGCGCGAATGATGGAATATGCTCCTATAAGGCCTTCTGAAGCGCTGCGCTTGATGACGTCTTCCTGCTTCTTTCGAAATATATTTCTGAAAGTCGATGAATGACTTGCTGAATTGGATGGCCAGCAAAAGGCGTTCAGAAAATCGTGCAATTCACTTTGTTGGATCTTGCAACCCTTTTTTAGCACACCCACAAGTCCACCCAGCTCGAAGTTCCAGACACCGTGGACAAGCAGGGTGTGCATGTAATCAAACTGAAGCATGCTATTCACTTTGATTCCATACACAGGGCTGGTTGAGCCATCGCCCAGAATCCCTTCAGGATTGTACGACCAGCCAAGTTTGTTTTCTAAGTCTTCCATAGCAGCCTTAGAGACTGCACCACTCGATGCGTGCAAACGGCGAATCTTGGCCAAAGTGGTCTGATCCCCAGCACGAATCCAAGATCTTTTGTCGCAACTCGTACTTGGCACCAATGATTGGTCTCCATACAGGCGCAAGCTGGAACCTTCGCTGACAATGTTCAAACATAAAGGGCAAAGCAATACGCCGCTCGCACCCCGGAAGTCAAAGACTTCCTTCAGCGCGACTTCGTCTGCCAGAAACATGCCAAATTTGGCAAACTTGATGCACACTTGGTTGTGCACTCGTCGCTGGACCGCATGGTGCATGTTGATGGGCTCGAAAAAGAATCGCAATGCTTTTTTCACATACCCACTCATTCCGCCTTTCAATGCAGACACTATGGAGGATCTGGCCACACCGAGGGTAAACCACAATTGGTCCACACTCATACCAGCAGCGCATTTGATCCCCCAGGAAAGGATTTGCACTTTGCGGGTCGCTTCATGGCGTAATTGGTTCCCAGGGCTCCCTTCATCGCTGTACAGAATGAGCCTTGGCTGTGTATATAGCACGCAAACAAGTAAAAACGCTTGGCATTATAGACCTATATATATACAACGTGTATATGTTTACCTCAAACAATTTGGGCAACTGACAAATAGCACTTGCATTGGCTTGCGCTTCCAGGTTGCTCAAAAGCATTGTTTACATCATTGCCCAGCTCTGCCAGGTGCTGCTGGAAGTATCTCGCGAAAGCTGGGCGCTTGTCCAAGCACACCTGTAAGAACCAAAATGGGTGGACGAAGGGGAGCCTTACCGTGCCGGGCTTTTTTCCTCCACTTCCAACGCTATCAAACTGCAAGTATGTGATAGCCTCGCCAATGGAGTTGGCCCAGCTGGCCAATTCGTTGTCGCGAGCTCCTTTAGCCGAGCTCCTGCTGGTCCCTTCAGGAATCCTTGCGTTCTTAACTTCTGTCAACACATCGCTCAAGGCAGCTTGGGTAACATATTTTCTCCTTCCGATTCTTGCCAAGACCGACATGATGCACCAATTTCGAGGTAAAGATGCCAGCCGGACAAACTCACATGGTTAAAAATCACATTGACCTGTGGCATCAAATGTATGCTCTGTGCACACGTCTCTGCCTTGACATGGAAGGGTGATCAAACAACATAGCAACAAAAAGGGCGCGCATTTCGGACCTTTTCTGGCCTGATTGTTTCTAAGCCACAAGTCTCTGCGGGCCACATCGTCAGGTGGCGTGGCAACGCAATCCCAATCATTGGCACCCAAACACCAAACACGCAGTTGAACATCAAAGGCTTGTGTCGAGCATATCACACGAGGCAGTGTCATCCTAAACCATCACTGAAAAACACGCGTGCCAATGATATATCCCAGCAGTTACCACGCACAAAATTGCGTTGCGGTCAGCATTCGCGAGCAAGCGCACCCTGCGCGGTGGCCACAGCCGGCCTTAAAGCTTTCCATGACCGCAGCGGCAACTGACTCTTTGCCTGAACATTTACCATACACTCAGACGCCCGAAGATGTAACTGGAGAGAAATCAATGCAGCCAGGATGTTGGACACAAACATCCATCCAGCCTACGTCGGTTGAGATCGAAGCATGATCGCGCGCAGCCGCGAACCCACCGACATTTGGAAAAGCGCTCGGGGAAGCGAGCCCTCACAGCAGCTGAAACTTCTGTGCCATCCTTAGAACAACCCTTTGGTCTCGCTCCATAGGCTTGGTTCATAGTCTGCCGGTGCTCTTCCACCATGGCCTCCGCAGCCTCTTGGGAGTCGTCTGCAGCGGTGGGCAATGTAAAAAGAGCAAAGCCTGCAGGCGCTGGGGCGGCTGGAGGGTCCTCAGCCACCTTTGCTTCAGAGGGCTCATCCACCTTGGCTGGAGCGTCCTCAATCGCAGGGATTGCTTTTCGCTGGTTGGTGTTGTAGACCCTGAGGTTGATCGCATTGGCCCCACCCTGATGGTGCTGCTGGCCCTGGCCCTGCATGACCATGGCGCGCATCATCTGCGTGAAAGGATTGTTCATCATATCGTGGCATGCCTGAGGGGCAGCCGGGACAACCTTTTGAGGAGGGTTCAAATCCCTCGACGATGACCTCAGCCACTTTCCGGGCTTGTGCGCAGCTGTTTCCAAAGGCACAAGCTCATCGCCTTCAAAAGTCTTCTCAAGACCGAGGGCACGATCGAGGATCCCCTGGAATCGAATACTTTCGGCTGCAAGCCTTCCCTCTGACCTTTCAACTGTCGCTTCAATTCCTCTAGGAGGGCATGCTTCTCCTGAGGTGACCCGCCCATGCTAAAGCGCTCGGCGCAGGTCTGGGTAATGCGCCCCACGGTCTTCTCGCAAGGCATGTACAATCCAATGGACAGCATGCGGTCCACTACAACCGACGCCCTGGCAAAAGCATGTTGCCGCTCGTTGGACAACAACGCGCGGTCAGTCTTTGTCAGGTAGTTGAAAAAGCCACTAAGCAGCTTCTGACACGCCCGGCCCCTCGGCGGTGTGTTCCCACTG